TAATTTATACAAATACGAAATTTAAAAAGTAATAATATTAATACTAATATAAAAATGTATTCATTTGATTCAAATTTAGTTTATTGTTATTTTAACAAAAATAAAGCAGTATCTTTAGAAAGAAAACAAACAAACAAACATGCCACTCAGTCACAGTACCAGTGACATAAAAATAGACTGATTCTGGTGAATACATGCCACAGCGGCTTGCCATAGGCGGGGGCTGAGGCGAACCAGACGGGGGGGAGCATCGCTTCGCCTGGCCGCGAACCAGACGGGGCGGAGCATCGCTTCGCCTGGCCCCTCTCGGCGCAGACATCCTTGTGTCCCGTTCGCCTTCTGCGTTTCGGAACCGGAGAGGGGGCTGGTCTGTGGGAGGGACTAGTGCAAAGGGGGGACTAGGACCAGGAGGGGGCGGGGTGGCGGCGAGGGTGCTGTTCCTCCAGTCTCTTACCAGTGTCTTTGTCTCACACTCTTTTGTTAGCCATGCCTAGCTTGCTGGTTCTAGCAGGGATCATGGAGAAAAATGGGGGCTACGGCGGGGATTTAGCCGGCTCCGGCTTCGGCAGCGAAGGTCTCCTGGTGCCAAACGAGGAAGAGGAGGACGATTCCCGTGCCCTTAGAGTTGCGCTGGGCCAACTGTCGCTGCTGGGTCTTGGAGAGGGCGAGGACGGTGCTCCTGCGGGTGGAGGTGGTGGAGTTCAAGACAGGAGTAACAATAACCACCACAATCACATCCCAGCCGATTCAGGGATGTTACAAGGGAAGAACAAGTTGTGCGCCCTGTACGAGAGCTCGCCCACCGAAACCAAAGGACGGGGCTGCAACATAACGGAGTGCGTCCCCGTGCCAAGCTCCGAACATGTGGCCGAAATAGTGGGGAGGCAAGGTAAATACAACGATGCGCACTTTCACATGCTTTCCAGCTCGTTGTTCTCCAGGGTGCGCGGCTCAAACTAAGTGTGGAGCTGTCTTGACAAAGAAAAAGGGAGTGGTGATGCTTTTAACGTGTCTGTTTTAGCCACAATCCAGCACTCTGTTTCAGCGCGTACATGGGCATTTCCTCTTAGCTTTAAGCAAACTTATCAGTGGGTACGAGAACAAAGGCGTTATTCCACATCCACGCCTTCAATGTCAGCACGCTGCTTTCCCTTTGTCGTCTGAGCGCGCGTAATTCTGCTTTTTGAAACAGAAAATGGAACGCGTGTGCGCTCTCTGGATACAATATAACAGTCAACGGTCTTTGTTGACTGGATACATTGTGTCAGTCGCTCCTTCCCGCGCCTCTATAGTTCCTGGGGGCTTTCATATGCAGCACCACGTTGTTTTTATCAGGTTACCTAAGACAAAGAGCACTTGTCGGGTAACTTTAGTCCACCGCTGATGTCTCGTGAGCGTCTAAAAGTGCTGAAATTCTGACAGCGTGGTCAGACAAAGAAGTAAAAGTCCTCGTGTGATTTGAGTGCAGAGCTATATAAACGTGACTAAAAAACGTGATCAAAGTTGCGTTTTGTGTGCGTGTGATGATATTTGGAATAAGTTGACGAGGCAACTGCGTGTTGTTGGATCACTTTGGTGACCATGTTGTCTCAATAAGTCACTTGGTAATACGTTTCCAGCATCCTGGAAAGCCGTGTTGCATTTGGTCCTGGAGAGACAGACTATAAAGACTGTATTAGAGTCACGCCCCGTCTACCAGTACAACAGCCCTGCACTCAGGAAGCCTCTGCTGTCCATTCATTAAGAGCATAATATCTCACCCAGATGAAATATGCACTAATAAACGTCCCAGCAAGCGGGGACCCTGCATATGACGACTTTGTTGAGTTGTAAAGTGGCCTGTGTGCTTTCAGAATCCAAATGGGGCTACGTTGGGAATGGGATGCAGTGAGCGCGTGGCTTGGAAATTGCTGATTAAGAGGATTCGAAATGGGGTCTTTGCCTCATTAGTCACTGATAGTACGGCCACATCCTGTGACATTCGTTTGGCCTTTATTAGGTTAATTTAATTGCATTTTTCTATGAATAGATAAATGCATTTGGCCTCATAATAACAAGCCAGAGTGACGGCGAAAAAAGCAGCACACTTAGGTATCCTTGTTATCGCCATTAGTTGGAATTTTGAGCTGTAAGGTTCCAGTGCTCTGTTCACCTGCAGTGGCTGCCATGCCTTTTAGGAGATGTGCTCCTGCAGCGAGAGGGACGATTCAGCGGCGGGAGGGAATCTGTGCTTCCTGCTGTCAGTGCTAGACAGTCCATCCAGGTTATTTTTTTAGCTTCTGCCGTACACAATGAGGCATGAAACCAGTGTGCAGAGATCTATCTACTGAACAGGCCCCTGGGCGGAGAAAGCCACCCCACTCTTGATAAGACACCACTGAGGTGCTAATAAATACTCTGGTGCTGAACACGAGGCAGATGCTGTCGAGCACCACACATTGTCATGAATTCATATCTCAACAATAACTTTATGAGGGATTCTGCATGCTTGCTTTGTCCTCCTTCTGCAGAATAGCTGGGAAATTACATCTGAAGCACATTTTAATTTGGGTTTCCGTGCTGAATATCATAGTACCTGTACCTGACAGTTAGCACATGGCAGTGTTGCAGAGGAGGCGTCATTCAGACAACAGTGATTTTTTAAGCGCTATTGTATTTACAGGTCTGTTTGTTTTTTTGCATCCTAATAGGATACGTCAACACAGAGTGGAAAATTTTAATGGGATTTATTATGCTAAATACTTAAGATAATTAAAAGGAGACACATTTTTTCTATATAATGAATGAAACGGCAAAATAATAGTGTAATGTAGACAGTGTAGTGTAGAAAATAAAATATTGTTTTAATGGATTTGTACATTTACCACAACAGAGAAGAGTGAACAGTTATTTCCAAATTCACTTTGGGCCTCAAACACGAGCAGAAGGAATTTCAGTGTGCATTGTTCAATCAATAATTTTATGAACAAAAATGACAAAGAAAGAAAGATTAACACAGATATTTATTCAAGGTTCAGTGGGTGTAATCAAATACAACAAATTGCTAAATAATTCTCATTTTTATCTTCAAAAATGTTTTCATATATTTTGCACAAAATTGCAAGACGACGCTTGTTTTATAATCAAAAGTTGTATTATAATATATGTTGTACAAAAAATGGTCAGACAATGTTTTTTCCCCCCAAAAAAGTATAATTCTATCTAAATAATAACATCTTTTCAACAAAAATAGCAAAATAATGCCCATTTTTATAATCAAAAAAAGAAATGTAGTATATTTTGTGCAAAGAAATGCAATACAATGCTAATTTTTAATCAACAAAAATTGTATTTTGGTATATTTTGTGTATAGGTTACAATAGAAAAAGGCATGGGCGGGCCCAGACTGAATCTACTGACTTGTGCAATGAATCTGCAGAATTTTGTATATTTAAGCATGGTAAATTGATGAAACATGGCCAATTTAAACTGATTAAATTGTGTTAAATAGAATAAACAGTACCATACTTTTACTGAAAACTGAAATCACAATCAAATGATTCAAAATGTTTAAATTACACAACACATGAAGAACTTTGTGAATGAGTTCTTCTGCTGCAGATTCTGTGCATGGGTGACCTTTTGACCTGGAAACAAACAAGCAAAATAAGTATTATCTGACAGATTTTAGTACTCCTACTACTATAATACTCCTTCTTCACTCAACAGGTTGCAAAATCAAAGCTTTGCGTGCAAAGACAAACACCTACATCAAGACCCCCGTCCGAGGCGAAGAACCAGTCTTCCTCATCACCGGCCGCAAAGAGGATGTGGCCCTGGCCAGACGTGAAATCATCTCAGCTGCCGAGCACTTCTCCATGCTGCGGGCCTCCAGGAACAAGCTGGGCGTCTCTTTCAGCGGCTCGCCTCCTGCGCCGCTACCTGGCCAGACCACCATACAGGTGCGGGTGCCCTACCGCGTCGTGGGTTTGGTGGTCGGACCGAAAGGCTCAACTATAAAACGCATCCAGCAGCAAACGTGCACTTACATCGTGACTCCAAGCCGCGACCGTGACCCCGTCTTTGAGATCACCGGCTCCCCTGGGAACGCCGAACGGGCGAGGGAAGAAATCGAGTCACACATCGCCTTCCGCACGGGTGGCCTGCATGACCACAACAATGAGAACGACTGCTTGGGACCTGACAGCGGCAACGGGGGTCTGGAGAGCCGCCTGCAGCAGGTGTGGGGGCTACAGGGGGCCCCGCGCAAACCGCTTGCCAGCAGCTTCCGCCAGAATTTCTCAGACGCCATGGTCGGAAGTAGCAGTGGAGGAGGAGGAGGAGGAGGAGGTGGGATGTACAGTAAAGGTGACTTTACCAACCATGGCAGTGGGGACAAGCCATGCTCCTACTTCGGATCCGAGGGCACTCAAAGCTGGGGCGATCCCGACTATCCCAAACAGGTGGCTTACTATGCCCAGCAGCGCTCCAAAAGCTTTGGAGGCCTGCCTCTTCCTCTGACCAGACTGTCGCCGGGACTGCCTGAACCGTGTGACACCGGAAACTCAAACGCCGTGGGGTCTCCTCACGCCCAGGCGCGCCGCGCCCACAGCGAGCCCACCGCCATCACGTTCACCGGACGTCTCCCTGTGCCGGATTCTCCGCCTGCCGTGGCTCGGGACTGCATGACCTGTTTTGAGAGCAAAGTGACTGCCGCTCTGGTCCCGTGTGGTCATAACCTCTTCTGCATGGAGTGCGCCATCCGAATTTGTGAGCTAAACCATCCGGAGTGTCCTGTCTGCCACACCCTTGTCACACAGGCCATCCGGATATTCTCTTAAAAAGTCGACTTTCTTTTTGCTTTTTTGTTTTGTGGTTCGTTTTTACTCTGTAGAATCAGTTCACTTTTAACTTTTTTTTTTTTATTTGGTCTGTATTCACTTTTTTTATTTTTCAGAAAACACAAAACCAAAACAAGCAGATATTTTAGAACACACTGCTTGGTTTACTAAAAAAAAAGAGGAAGAAGTATTTTCAGATTTTTCTTTTATATGTACACATATATACATATATATTTTATAAAAGTTTTTTTAAAAATGGAAAGAACGTAGTTCTTAGCATGTTGGTTTGTTTTGCTTTATTTTATTTTATTTTTTTTAATGGTGCTGTTTTTTTCCACATGCTGTGTGTGGACAGTAACAGAAGAAATAATGTGAACATTTTACACTTTTCTTTTGCTGGGGAGGTATATTATTATATAAAAGAAATATAATTACGAGTTCATTTCCTAAGATTGGAGTAAATTTTTACATCCCAGCATCTTCTGCAAATGAGCGAGTATTCTTTTTTTAAGGCAAACTAGAATCTTAAATCTTTGCACCTTAAAACTGATGTAAAGTGATTGTCAAAAAAACATTACATTTCTAGATGTCTCTGCAAAATAGATAGATGGTATAGAAATAGGGGCTGATATATACGACCTGATGGCTTTAAATTCGGATCATGTTCTAAATGACACAATTACCGATGTAGTATCTGCTTTGCAAATCAATATTCGAACGGGTAATTGACGAGTAAAACAGGAAGTTTCTTTTTTTGTTCTGTTTTGTTCTGTTTCTGCACCAGTGAGCCTATTATGTGATGCATCTAAAACGGTCTTAAGTACAATACAGAAAAAAAAGAAAACAACTAATTTGAGCAAACTGATTGGTCAGCTCAAAAAACCTTGGAACTCATCCAGCGTTCTGTTTCCAAGAGGATTTCCCGGGTTCTTTCAGTAACGTTTTTATTCTCTTTTCTGCACTCAGTCAGTACGTTTATGATTTTTTTCTTTTCCACATTATTTAGTAAAACGCTGAGCATAAAGCATAAAATGAAGTACAAAAAAAAAGCTGGAGGGGGCGATTGATGGGAGGGGGTCTGTAATCTGATCCTGAATAGACCAAATAGACAAAAGCAAGCAAGACTCCGAGCTACAGTACAATGTAAATCACCCGTTCCCGAGGTGCTGCATTTGAGTTGCAAAGCGTCCTCTGACTGTCCGTCTGTACTGAGGCAGGTGTTGCATATCGTACTTTTTTATTTTCTGAGGGTCGGGCTTGTCGGTGGGGACTATGCTCTAATTCTACGAACCGCTCATTCGCTGTAATGACTAAAGAGCTCCTCCCTGTGAGTATATTGTTTTGTCGCAGTGGTGGTACAATCCCCGGAGCGCCCCGACATGGCCTGCCCTAGGAGGAGCTGATAATTAGCCATACATCAGAGTCCAGGTGCAAAGCAACTGCTGTAGGCATACAGTGGTGTGAATGTGGACGGAGACGCCGCGCAGGGGGCTAAACTAGGTGCAGCTGGGGCCCCTCCTGTTGATCGCTTGCTCGCTCCCGTTCTGGTATTCCCATTGGGAAGAAATGGGGCCTCTTTTGTCCTGCCGTGGGGTGAAAAAAAAATCCAAGAGCAGATTTTATTTCAAAGAGAAAAGCTGGCCATTCTGGGTAGAGAGTGTGACTAGATAGACCCAAAGCATTTTACTTCTGAGATTTCTCGTTTAATGTGCACAAGAGGCAGGCCACAGAAGTTTCCATTGAGTCTTCCTTCATGAGCGGGACATCCTGCCGTGACCCCCTCGAGACAGGCACGGTCACGAGCAGCCAATCGGAGAACAACCTTGAACTCCACAATGAAATCAGACAATTGTAATTGACAAGAAAGCAGGGGGGGAACGCCCAATTTGGTGGCGGCTCATGCTGAATCAAATTACACACCCAGTGCCTGTCTCATTGCAGGCTGGGGGATTTCGGGATAGGGGATTAGAGTGTTCGGAGGTTGGGAAACTGTCTTTTTCCCCCCTTTCGCTAGAAGGCTACTACAAAAGAATGGAGCCACTGAAAATGTACTCGGTTTGAAATGGGTCAGTTTTTCCCCCATCGAGCCTCTCTGCGCCATTGCCACATGTGCGCGGTGTTAGAAGATATGCTAGGGTAAGCCTGTGATTGTATTTAACTTACTATAACGATTTACCTTTGAGCCATTAGCATCTTAAATATTAGTTCTGAAAAACTTTTGACTGTTACAGCAGATATACTTAGTCGTTTGCCTCATCTGAATTCATGTATTACGGCCGCAGTAGCGCCTTGTTTTGTTTTTGTTTCTATGAGCGTTAGTGTAATAAGGTACTTTGTTTAACTGAAATATATTTCAAATCCCTTTAAGTAACTCAGATTTGATAAAAAAAAACTGAAAAGGCTTAAATTAAAGCTCTTAAAAGCACCTTATTTTTAAGTAAGCAAACAGCATTTGCAATCATAATGCATGTGCATTTCTCGACAGCGAACTCAAATGGCAAATATTCTTGTTATTATTGCACTAAGGTTATATTTTGGGTTAGTTGGTTGTATTTGCACGGATAGCGTATTTTGACACTTAGCAGTCTTTAGAAATAGCATCTTAATTTACTTAAAAATGAAGGGACAACAACGTGATGGTATTTTCTTACCTTCATTTCTAGTTCTTCAAATCCCCAGCACTGATCAGGGACAGACGCTCGTCCATTAAAGGAATGTATGTTTGTGCATTTCGGTCATTTCTATATAAAAAACCAAAACCATTTTAAAAATAGAATAAATTATGCAAACCTTAATAGCACGAATTTTAGAATCCGATTCAGAACAACAGTTGTCTGTCTATATGACGTATTTTGTTCTCCTGCCTCTTTTAAGGTCACTAGGTCAGCGTATGCAGGAAACAGCAATAACTGTCTTAATACTTAATAAAACAAGTTAATCCTTATCCAAAAATGCACTGTTAGAAAAATGCTTCTAAATGGTTGATAACCCTAAGAATTGTTTAAAGCCATGCACATTGTACTTACCCAATTAAAGCCCTTTTTGAGAACAAAACAAAAGCAGTAACGACTTTCCCAGTTAGAAAATGCAGCACTTCAAAAGTTTTGTTTCTTAACCAAACGCCGCAACTTCTAATAGAGTGATGATATACTTCAAAGAATGTAGCCTGGATCAATGGAGAAGGTGCCGTGTAAGTATTCAGAGCGAGATATTATTCAATGCAGGCTTTGAAAGGGAGACATTTTAACTGTTAAAGACTTTATACAGCCAATCACAGCAAAACCTTTTTTGAGTATTATTTATTTGATAGGAATAAGACTATATTTATTGACATTTAGGGAGATATATAATAAAGACTGACTATGATAGGCATATCATTAAATATTTTTCACTATATAAGCAATTCTGAAAATATTGTAATAGTCTCTAATAGCCTACTTGCTAGTTTGTAATATTTCGTAAGGCGTCATCCCAATAGAAATTAAATAAAGTGTGATGTTATTGATGCCCCAAAATCTGAAAGCTCTTCAGAAAGTACATAACCAAAAATTAGGGTTATCACAATCAACAGGGGAAAGAATTCATATAGTTTAGTTTGTACAGCATTTGCTTTGCCTATAACTGGTGCATACGGTTATGAAAATACAAAAAATATCTACACACCCTATTGACAGGATTTACTGCATGTAAGAACAGCTCAGAAGAGACTTTCCCAGTTAGAAAATGCAGCACTTCAAAAGTTTTGTTTCTTAACCAAACGCCGCAACTTCTAATAGAGTGATGATATACTTCAAAGAATGTAGCCTGGATCAATGGAGAAGGTGCCGTGTAAGTATTCCGAGCGAGATATTATTCAATGCAGGCTTTGAAAAGGAGACATTTTAACTGTTAAAGACTTTATACAGCCAATCAAAGCAAAACCTTTTTTGAGTATTATTTATTTGATAGGAATAAGACTATATTTATTGACATTTAGGGAGATATATAATAAAGACTGACTATGATAGGCATATCATTAAATATTTTTCACTATATAAGCAATTCTGAAAATATTGTAATAGTCTCTAATAGCCTACTTGCTAGTTTGTAATATTTCGTAAGGCGTCATCCCAATAGAAATTAAATAAAGTGTGATGTTATTGATGCCCCAAAATCTGAAAGCTCTTCAGAAAGTACATAACCAAAAATTAGGGTTATCACAATCAACAGGGGAAAGAATTCATATAGTTGAGTTTGTACAGCATTTGCTTTGCCTATACTGATGCATACGGTTATAATGATACAAAAAAATATCTACACACCCTATTGACAGGATTTACTGCATGTAAGAGCAGCTCATAAGAAATAAAAATATATTTACAAATGCATATCAGAACGGTCAAATCATCATTCAAATCATTTCAAACTGGCAAGTTCCTTTATAACTTCAGAATGACGAGGGCACTATTATTATGCCTAATCCAAAATAATAACTGCCCATGCAAAAAGCCATTCTGATCGAGAAGGGGGAGTGGTCACAACCTACGACTACAAGATCACAATGAAAAGCCAGTCCGGTTTAGGTCTGACAGGTTTAACAAGAATGTGCTGTCTAAGGTGAAGCTTAATATTAAGAACCACTGTGAATCGTTTCCGTTTCTGCTTCTTCTTTTTTTCCAGTAATTATGTGGTGTTGTTAAATAGTCGCAGTTCAACAGCTTCTCTAGCTTCTTTTTGGTTGTGCATGCTGGGAAATTATTTTACAGAGCATTATTAACCTTTGAACAGCCTGTGTAGATAAAAGATAACGTAGCCACTTGTACTACAGAGATTTTTAGTGAGGACTATAGCTGGTGTTTAATGTAATGCTGTACAATGACACTAGTTTATTTTTCCAAACATATTTCTCTTACCCAACTTAAAGTATCTAATGCACAAATACCAGATAAATGCTCATATGTTTACACACCCCAAGCAGAGTCTGTTTAGAAGGTGCTTAGCATTTTTTTTTTAAAAAGGATTTTTATTTTTAGTACTGCCCTGAAGATGCCATATATGAAATAATTTACACAAATAATTTATTCCGTTCAGAAGTTTGCATACCTTTAGTTCGTAACACTGTGTTTTCTCCTCAAGTGTCAATGATTGTTTGCAGCCTTTTGTGAAAGCTGCATGAGTCCCTCGATTGTCCCGAGTGTCAGAGCTGGAGATCAACATCGTATAGCCACTGTGGGGAAGAACTCAAATGTGCAGAGCATGCTGGGAAACCAAAGAACGGAGGATGTTTGTCAAGAACAGTGGGCTGCTTCAGGACAAACCAGAGACTCAAAACACATCACATAAGATACAAACAGTCATTGACACTCGAGGAGGAAACACATGAATTTAAACAAGGGCATGTGAACAATTTTGTCTTGTGGAATATTAAGGCGGGACACTCCAGGTGAATAGGGTAAAAAAAAAACCTGACTAATAGATGAACTAATATATTTATCCAGTCGTTTAGATTTTTTTTAAATGTTGTGTTGAAATATGCAAATCTACATACATTTCCAGAACATAAATCTAAACACTGGATAGAGCCAAATTAAAAATTCTTGTTTTATATTAGAGTTGAAAGATTTTACAGAGGGGTTTTTTTTTTCTTTCAAATTTTCAATCCATAAGTCAGAAAAACAACTATTCACTTTCACCACGTTTTTAGGAAAAAAGAAACTGTTATAGAACAAGGTGAATGATATATCAGCAAATCTGTATCTGTAACAGCTCAGAATATAGATAGGAATAAAATTGTAATGTACAGGAGACAAATTTTGAGAAAACAGCCTTTAAAGATATTATAATTGAAATCTACAGATGCAAACAGATAAAGTGCAATACAATAAATACTTAAATGTGTGTTGCACGCTTTCTTTCCATTAGTCTGAAACTACGCATTACGTAAGGCCTAAAATCTCAAAATTGACCAGTGCATGAAAAAAAAAAAACAACAACAGTGTTTTCATTTGAAGTGTCTCGCCTCATTTCAAAAAAACTTTGAGGGATGTACTAAAAATAAAATAAAATGCAATTTAAAACTTCTTCGAGGGGTTTGCAAACTTTTGAGCTGAACTGTACCTTGCATTCCCATTACGGATATATTTGCATTTTTAGTCTTGTTGATATTTTTGAGGGGGGGGGGGTTTTATGCGCCCGGTTAGGCAAACAGTATATACCCTTATATGTTCTGACATAGCAGATAGCGAAGCTGCACGTATTTATCTATAACCGCTGCAGCATCCATTCCATAGAATCACCAGAGAACATATACGTGATGCACTTAAGCAATTATAATGCCTTTCAGTATAGTACAAAGGGCAAATAATGTATTTGAATGTAAAAATGGCCACCCAACCAATGTCTAATTTTGCCTTTTGTTTCTTTATCAAAAGTGAGCTTTAAGCTGAATTTCATGGCTAGAGAAATACCACCATATCTGTTTAGGTTCTTCCTCACAGCATTTATACAAAGCAACTTAAAATGTCTTATAGCCGTTTCGTAAGATTCTATTTTGCTAACATGCATTATTATTTCATAGAGGAAGAGGTCAGTATCTGGATGTTATTTATGAATATCTTTAATGAAGCAAACGTATTTATAAGTAACTTCAAGACGTTTTGTTTTTTAATTAATAAATTAAAAAGTTAATATATTTGTAAAACGCATGAAGTTGATTTCTACTAAAATGATTAAAACTATAGAATTTTTATTTATGAAAGTTAGAAAAAGCCACACTTCTGACAGCATAAAAACGAGTAGGGTGGGGTTTCAAAGGCTTATATTTTAAAACGTCAGATACGTAACGTGTGCATTAACAATGGGATAACGGCAGAAATATTTTATAGCATTCGGGGGTATTTTAGTCACTTCAACTTTGTGCCTCAATACCGCGTTTTTGCATACTAGAAGCGCTCGGAAGTGTTGTGTACTCGTCCTTTACTGAGTGAATAAAGGGTCCCTTCCTTTTTTTATATATTAAATTGCTTTGGTTTTAAATGCAATTGTTATAAAGCGATAACAGGCTGAAGTATAACAGGGTGAAACAGAAAAATGATTGTGCATAGTACACGCATACAGTAGTAATAATTCAAGCAAAAATCAACTACATGTAATGTCGTTCCGATTTCCAATCGTTTAAAAATATGCATGACAAAACTTAAAAAAACAAAACAAACAAACACTTTTTTCCGCAAATCAGATGTTCCGTTATCATATTTGTTTGCAGATATGTGAACAGAATGCAGATTTCGAGCACATTCACAGTAATACCGTTATTTGCATGTAACTTCTATCAACCTGTTTTGTCACATACAAAATGAGGCTTATGTACAAACTACACTCAAGGGCTGATGACTGCATTTCATTATTACCGAGAGTGTCTCAAACATGTCAAAGCGGTGAACTATTGTTTACAAGATTACACGCAGAAGCATAGTCTCAGTACTTCATGGTGAACACGCATCTCGACTTTATTTTGGCTCTGTGGTGGCAATGATAGTTGTGTAGTGGTTTAAATTTCAGTCAGACAGGAACATGGGGTGGGGCGGGGGGGGGTTAGGACGGTCACTGACGTGACCTCGCTTGGGATGAGTTACTCCGGTCCGACAGTCTGTATTTGGTAGCTTCCAGCACAGTAGAAGTGTTTCATACAGCTCTCATAGTGGTCTTAGTGCATTAGTTTGGTCAAGCATCTCCTGGTACTAGTGTTCAATTTATTGTTGATAAACGAGGGGTTTGCCATATCATAAACGAGGCTAGCCGATACTCCACGAGTCGTTTTGATTTCATAATTCAGTATCGTGTCTACACGGGGCACGCAAACTGCAGGTTTTTTCCTTAGAACATGTTCTTTGTGACTTTCATTTTTGATATTTGATGATCAATGTATCTATGCCATACTAGTTTTGATTTTTTGGTTATTTTCGAGAAATTGTATTGTAAATGTTTCTAATAAAACAAACTGAATAATCTGTCACTGCTACCCTGAATTATGTTGCTCGCACACCTGATGATTTGAAACAAAACTGATTTTATTTATATATGTTATTAAAATACACAGTAAATTCCACAAGTTAACAAAAAAAAAGGATAAAAATAGCCAAAAAGTTTAAAAACAGAAACGTTCACGGGTTCCCACGGTCACGGAAGTATCAGGGAATTTTAAAATCGCCTGGAAAAAGTCATGGAAATTAATAACATTTCAAAAAAGCTCATAAATATTTAATCAACTAGAAATTGCTCTTTGTGTGTGCAATCTCTATACGATGAATTTTCCTTATCCGGTATTCAAGAACGACTGGAGAGGTCATGCGGGAGTCACTGGTCAAAAGATGTGAAATACACAAGTTTCCAAGCGTCTACGTAAAATCTATTCACCCAAGTTGAAAAAACCCAACAGCTGATAAACATTCATGATGATCACTGAAAAGGTATAAACCTATTTGCAGTATTCAGAGCCTTTATTTAGGAGTCCCACTGGGAAAAGAACAGGCACGATGACAGAATCTTCCCAAAGCAGTAATTATCAACGACTCCAGCTAAACGGCTGATATTCAGCATAACAGATTGATGGCATTAGCATAAATCTTACAGGCAAGGCATTTAGGGAAGCACCTCGTGTCTTTAAACAAATGACAAGACATAAAGCCGAAAACACGACCCCAGTTGTCCCGTCCTGAGGCGAGGAGGATCTAAACGTCACAGAACACATATGCAAAGATAAAACCACACCAAAAGCCATAGAAGACAGAAAAGCCAGGACAGAGAGAGATCTCAAGAGACCTGCTGCTCTTCGGGTTACATGTAGCAGATAACAAGGGTGGCCAGCGAGGAATTCACTTCCAGTAAGAAAACCTCAGCAGTACATCACAAGCCATCAGTTCCCCTGCCTTGCAATATAATATGGCCAATGTACCCAATCATAGAAGCTCCTCTTAGTGAACTGCATCCCACCTGCCGCTCATTTTCCAAGCAGAAAAAAAAGCTATTAGCCAAAGACAACACCCAGAAACCAGCTAAAGCAAAACTAATCATGCAAATTTCCATCATAATAAAGTCATAAAGCAGACAAAAAAAACATCTGACCCGCATCTGTGCTCCAAGTAGGGATGGGAATCGTAGGGATTTAAATAAATAGTTCACACAAAATCAAAAATTGTGTCCTAATTTGAGTAAATTATATGACAATATGATTGGATGAACTATTTCCTTATGATTCTGGCATCTTACTTCAGTTTTAGTAATTTAAAGTAAAAATTAAAGAATGTTTGAAACATGGAACAAATCATATCATAAATATAATAATAACAACAATAATAATAAATTATCATATAATTTTTAGGGGAGAAAAAGCACCACACAAGTGACAAGTATACCACAAATGGTGTTTTTTTTTAATACTTTTAATTGATTGGTAACAAAAAAATTATAATATGCCTGAAAGTTCAATGCTGATTTTAATGCACAGCTGAGAATAAATAAGTTGCATCATCATGACAACAAAAACTTTAAAGTGGTTCTATTTTGAATATTTTCATTATGCATAAAATAGCAGAGATTTAGAATGCATAAGTTCGAAAACCGTTAACCGAATCAAGTGTCATAGAAATAATCAGATCATTTAAGAACTAGTCAACGATTCCCAACCCTAAATCTGAATATACTATACTCTTATTAAACACTACAGCACATACAGCCATTAACTTAACCTATTAACATTACTCTGATCCACAGAAAACACTCCCAGCGCTTGTACAAATGAGTGCCATGACTGGAAGGAGAAACCCTTGAGAAATTCCGATCAATAATCTAATGATGGATAAAAGCATGACAAAAAAGCAAGCAAAAAAAAAAAAAAACACCACAGAATAACAAGACCATGTTTGCATTCAATAAATACAAGAGATGCCGTTGCAATGTAAGAATTGAGCGAACAGGCGGCTATGATGACCACAGTTTGAATTTCTCAGGTGTTGAGATGCATGGAAAAGATGTCAGACTACTTCTGCGCTGGCACACTAAAGGGAAAAAAATATGATTTCACAAGTGAATCCCCATTGCGATCAGAAACCATTCAAGAGGTACTTATAAGAAGCATTATGCATTCCAAGCACTTTTTCTTGTTCTTCAGCCCATTGTTTGTAAGCAGACTCTGTGGCAAAAAGTGCAGGAATAAAATAAAAAAAGCAGCCACGTCTGAGCGTCCCAGCTAACTGCTCATTTCTAATTAGTCTGAAACAAGAAGCATGGCCTCTCAGTTCTGAGAAAATCCTTGATCCATTCAATTTCAACATCTCTTGTTCTCCAATTTTGAAGATTATTACTCACTTATTCTGGGCATAACTAAGCAAGTCCGTTACATATGTTAAGCACATCACGCGCAGGGAATACAACGGTCATGGTCAACCTTGCAGCCCAGCCCAACAAAATTTTCCCAGGATCCCATGGTGGTGCTGCAGCAGCTCAGTTATTCTGACAGCAGGCGCCCTGCTTGCCCGAATTCTGTGTGGGCTGCACGGTAATGGGAACCACTTTTGAGCTGGGGGAGAAGCCGTCATCACCACGCCCTGACATCTGCCTCTGGGACACGATACGGTAGATTTCTGTGTGAGAGAGAGGCAGGATTCATACATCGGCATGATGGAGGGTTGCCTGATAAGCGTGCTCTTTCAGGTGTGTTACTGACAGTGCAACAACTTCAGCTACGCTTCATTATGACGCCTAGAAATGAACAGTGTAACTGTGTAACACGGTGTGGCTGAAGAGAGGTATTTCCCAGGCCAAACAAAAAAAGAAAAACTGCAAAAAAGCAAACCACTATTTCTGCGTGGCAAACTTTCGAAGTTTGACCTCAAAACACGGTTTCATTCATTCATAGGAAAAGCAGAGGATATCTGTGGCGTGGAGTTTGACGCCATCTAGAGGTTATACTTAATAACCTACAAAAACACCCTGGAATCTCACAAAACTGTCAAGAAATGTCTTGTGTAAAATAGACAGATTTTTTCCTTGAAAAGGAGTATCCTGTTTTTTTAGGTCACTTTTAATTAAGCAGATTCTCCCAACCCCAAAAACTCTCATTACTGTAATCTGACAAAATAATTATATTAAAATTATTTTTAAAGTAATTGTATTTATGCTTTATTTTTGGGTGTTTTTTTTACTGTATTACAACACAAGTAAGAATTGGCTTTTTCACATTCGTTTTTTCAAATATTTAAAAGAATAGCTCAAAAAAAAAAAAGTGTCATAATTTGCATGATTTCAGTAAATCATATGACAATTTTGATTTCTGGATGAACTTTCTTTAATTCTGGTTCCCTTCATTTTTTTTATTAGTAATTTCAAGGGGGAAAAAAACTATATTCTGTTCTTTACCCTTACAAATATGTTCTGTAATAAATCATACATTCATAATATATAACAAAAACAACAACAATAATAATTTTGTTTCGTTTTTGGAAAGCATCAAATTTCAATCACTTATACCACAAACGGTGCAATTCAACTTTGTAACAGTGGGAAACAAATCAGGTGCCTGACCATTTTTTTTGCTGATGCATATATTGTACAGATATTTAGAATGCATAAGTTGAGCAGAATTGAATGCCAGAAATGTCCAGTTAATAAATAAACAACTAGATCACATTTCTCTCTAATATTAAAAATTCACAACGTTTGAAAATGTTTTTTTATATACTAAATTATGCATAAATACTTTGCTATTTAAATACTATTCTTGTCATTACAGTAATGAGAATGAGAATGTTCTTAATAAAAAATGACTGGTACATGTTCTTCACAGTTTTCATGAGATTCACCTCCAAAAGCTTTGTGATATTCACCCTTCTAAATTATTTGCTCAGGACTGACCTGTAAGAATGGTCTGAAAGGCAAGTTCAACATTAGAAGAGTCCAGCGCTGAGGTCTCCAGGAAAGAAAGTCCATGCTTCTCTGGATGTTGATTTGCAAGATTTAGCCTCTGCTTCACACCATTCTATATGTGGGGACTGAAACCAATAAATAACTTTTTGTAAATTTGCTGCCCAATAATAATTTAGCAAATTTGGGAGAGCCAATCCTCCGTCTTTTTTAGGTTTTTCAAGAAACTCCCTGCGTATGGCAACGTATATCTTAACTGCACTGTAATACACTTAGGATTAAAATATTTGCCAAATGTTAAAGTAAATACAACAACATCATGGTATGAAGCTACATTTGCCAATTACCACCCTAACACAACAATGGAGATAGCAAAATATGCGGACAGCATTGTGGCTTGATTGTTAAATGGAATGCATTACACATAAATGAGTAATGCTAAATCAACATTGCCTAAAAATAGTTTACATGATGCCCCATCATTTTATTAACAGTACTGCTTTAAAAGGTTACAATGTAGCGTTCAGCTTCTCAGAGCCCAAAGAAATGAAAATACAAACATATTCATTCCTGACCATGTGACTAAAAATCTGAGACATTCAAACTGACCAATCAGCAACAAGACCTGTAATGTAAACACCTCAGCCAACAGGCCTTGAACACTACCAGCACAGCACCTCTGTGACCTTTAAAGGTGTTCCAAATGACCTTTGGCGGTTTAAACATTTAGTTAACTCAACTTTACAAGCTGTCTTCACAAAAGTGACATATTAGGTCTAATTTTTACAGTGACATATTTAATATTCCGACTCCTTAATATAAATCTTGGTAAATTATATGAGCAAGTCTAGTGTTTTTAGGTGTCATTCTATACATTTGATTTGCCAGAAAAGCATCACTTATAGAAACTCTTGAGTAATTACAGTTCACACTAGCTAATAAACTCACAACACTAACCTGCAAACGCTTTGGCTTCATCCATAGGAACGGCCCTCAGATGGCGCAGGTCACTTTTGTTCCCTACTAACATGATGACAATATTGCTGTCAGCATGATCCTGCAGCTCGGTCAGCCAGCGCTCGGCGTTCTCATAGGTCAGATGCTTGGCAATGTCATACACCAGCAGGGCTCCTACGGCACCTCTGTAATACCTGTGAACACACACACAGACGTTATATGCAGTCATTATTCAGAAACTAGAAGACACACAAACAACACATTTATTCCACAATCTAAGGTGCCCAATAATAGTGTGATTACCAAGGAGTATTTGGCTGGTCATGTGAAATAGAACTACTGTTATTAAAGTCGTTATCTTATTTGAGTGTACATCATTAGGGGCCAAACGGTGTTGTTTTTTTTATTATTCAAATACTTCCCACTTGACGGGAGTCTACATCCTCCCATTGTACTATACAGTAAAAAGGCAAGCTCAAATGATTAGAAACCTGGCACAATTATCCACCTTATATTTTTAACATAAGAGCGGGCACAGCCATTTTTAACTTCAATGTGCGAGGTTTCCAGTGTCAGTCGCTTCCAGTAATTTTAACTATGCAAAAAAAAAACTATATTATTTTAATTTATTATCATAATCATAATAGCAAATGGTTTTTAAAATTTACTGCACTTTGTTATTCTTCTAGTTAATTCACGCATTTATTTACACGCATGTATTTATTTATATATTGTTATTATTAATTTAATAAAGTACAATATTTAAAACTTTTTGCACATATCTAGTCAGGGACAAGCATGTGCATCTAACATAATTCTGTATTTTTAGCTAAGAAGAATGAATATTTCTGTTCTGGTTAATGAACAGTACTTTTCGTTAACTGATTATCATATGTCTTAGAAGAAATAATTTTTAAAAAACCTTACTATTTTAACTCTATTTTGGCTTTGTTTAAAGTATTGTGAGAGTATTGTATTGTAAGATCAATATCGTCTATCAAGTCACGACAAAATTGTATTTTTTTCATGCCTAATGCATTGTTTTAATGCCTAATACATTGTTTTTAACCAAAAGGGCCTAGAAACTTAAAAAAAAATTTGTTTAAAGTTAGAATTAATTAAAATGATTCCGATTACATTTTTTCCAAGCACATTTAAAAAATTCCAAGCCACATCAATCTTAATAATTGTACCTGTAAACGAAAACCTGCTTAATAATTATGCATATCTGAATAGAAACCATTTTTTTTACTTCCAGTTCTTGTTAACAACTATAAATCAGTTATAAATGACTATATGCAAAATTAATAGTAGTTATTAAGGTTGACTGATGGATTGGTTTGAAATTGGTGAAATGTGCTTAGAAAAAAACAATACAATAAGAATATTGATCTGCCTAATAATTATGCACGTACTGTAGTTTATATTTATTATATTATATTTATTTTAGTAATTTAATTAAATGTAATTTTTATTTTATAATTACATTTATTAATTAATTTTTTTTAAACTGGTGCACAAAACAATTGGACTTCTTAAATTAGCTGATGTCTTAACAGAGTGTTTGAAGACACTTACGCTGATGTGATGGCCCTGTATCTCTCCTGTCCAGCCGTATCCCAGATCTGGGCCTTGACGTTCTTGCCCTCCACATGGATGCTGCGTGTGGCAAACTCCACCCCGATGGTGCTCTTGCTCTCCAGGTTGAACTCATTGCGGGTGAAGCGAGAGAGCAGGTTACTCTTGCCCACACCGGAGTCGCCGATCAGAACCACTGTGGATGAAGAGGACACGGGTGTGTGAGATCAACCGGCTCTACTTTATGGTGCTTTTAAACGCTATTGTATTTGCTGGAGACACATGACACTGTGAGAGCACTTTCAAGCAGATTCCATCTGTGCGCTTGCAGGAACCGGCCTCCCTTCACCGCACAACAGCAATTAGATTTGAATATTTCACACACAAAGGGTGTTTCCACAAAGTTTTCGACAATGAATGAAAAGGGCACGACTGAAGAGCAACTCCCTTTTTCACCCACACAGGTAGACTTACGAAATACTGGGAACGTCTGTGTCTCCCGCTGACAGAGGCAAAAATGGAACAGATATTACTGGGAAATTACATTTACAGTTACACTACTGTTCAGATAGTTTAGAATTGGTAAAAAAAAAATGTATTAAAGAAATTAACACTTTTATTCAGCAAGGATGCATGAAATTGATCAAAAGCGACAGTAAAGACATTTACAATATTACAAAAGATTTCTATTTCAAATAAATGCTGATCTTTTGAACTTTCTATTCATAAAAGGATCCTGAAAAATGTATCAGTTTCTACAAAAAAAAAAAATTAAACAGCAAAACTTTTAATATTGCTAATAATAAATGTTTCTTGAGCAGCAAATCAGGATATTAGAATGATTTCTAAAGGATCGTGCCATAATAAAGACTGGAGTAATGGCTGCTGAAAATTCAGCTTTGCATCATAGGAATAAATTACATTTTAAAATATTATATTCAGAAGAAAAAGTTATTTTAAAATTGTAATAAAATTTCACAATATTACTGATTTTACTGTATTTTACATTTTAAAATATTATATTCAGAAAGAAAAAGTTATTTTAAAATTGTAATAAAATTTCACAATATTACTGATTTTACTGTATTTTTGATCAAATAAATGCAGTCTTGGTGAGCAGAAGAGACTTAAAAATAAAAGTAGTTTATTTTTTTACACAGTAGTGTGTGAATTGTTTTTCATCTTTTTTTATTAAATCAGTACAGTCTAGGTGGGCATACTGTAAGAGATAAGAGGAACACTTTCATGTAAAATAATAAAAGATGCTTCAAGAACATCAAATCTCATTTATTTTCATTTTTTGAATGTGAAAGTAATACGATTTCAAAGCTTTTGAGGACAGAAAGATTATGACTTAAATTCCAGTCTATTCATCACACAAAGATGTTGTGTGACTTCAGAAAAACACTTGGAACATGACATTATATATAACAGGTGATTAAACAATTACAATTTTTAGTCAACCTAAACCTGAAATAAATTGGGTTAAAGTTGCCAACTCGACAGCATGAAAGAATGAAATCTATAACAGATGCCTCAGCTAATAATATCCGAGTTAGGCACACAGGAATGCACTTTGACAAAGACGTCTGCTTGTTTTAAAGCTGGTGGACACAGACATGTTTAAAGATCAGAGCGGTGATTGAACAGCACTGATTGATTCATGGTCAAACAGCGAAAGGTCCACGGACAGCTTAAACACACGGAGGTCAAGAGCCGAACTTTGACTAATGGAAGTGTCAAATTCATGGACATAACCACCGCAGACATCAAAGAGGTCAGATTAGTAAAAATAATATCATTAGTATTCGCTTTAGTAGTCAATTACTAAAGGAAATTCTCAAACTTTTACATTTGATCTCCTTCAATCTCGAATAATTGGCTATATATCAAAATAGAACAAATGAATGATCTGAGTGATGATCTGATTTAAATGAGAGAGTTTTTAAAACCTGAATGCAAACCCATCCTGAAAAGGACCGGATTTACACAGGTCTTACCGGTTTAACTGTGCTTATATTGCAGACACCATAGAAGGAAAATTCTAAATGAATTTCCACAAAAAAAAAAACTTTGTTTCCATTTTCTGTGTGGCAAGTGCATTAAATGTCCAAATTGTTTGTTTCCACAGCATAAGTTCAAATGTATTATTATATATATATATATATGAGAATTATAAAATAAAACAAGACACATTAGGAGAAGCCAGTCATGTTGTGCATTATATAATCAATAAAAAAATGGCACTTAGAAATTATTAAAATGTACAATTTCTATATCTTTTGCCCTGCTTATGCATTTGCCCTGTTGGAAAATCCATATTAAGACGGTAGCTGTTTTGGAACATGACACTTGCTTCGGCCTGACCTAAGATGATCAATAGCTGGTTGACCTGCCACCATGACCCAAAAACCAGCTTGTCCAGCCAAAGGCAGTGTGACCAGCTGGTTTTTTGCTGGTCCAAGGTGGTCTAGCAGCGACTGACCAACTTGGACCTGCTTGAAACAGCTGCAAATCACGTCTTGGATATGCTCATGTGTGTTTTAGGACAGAAAAAGAAGACATCTATGACTAGGGAGACAAGCAACACATGAAGACGACATGCAGGAGCTCATCGTTAAGTGTGGAAGTGCAGAAAGTAACGTGGTGCTCACCTTTAAAGAGATAGTCATACTCGTCCTCTCTACCCGACATGGCTTTAATCTTCTTACCGGCTTATTAACAAGTCAGTGTTTTCAGATATAAAGACGTTATGCTTTTCTGGAGAACCACAAGGTGCTATTATATTTACTACGACGTCAAAGAAACTTTGTTTATGAGACGCATCAGTTGATCACGAGCGCTTCATTACTACGCGCGCTTCATGCGTTAAAGACTCTCAGAAGCCAAAAATAAAAATATACAATATATTTCCTTCTGTCGAGGGTTATATATTAAGTAATCGTTAAGATAAAATAGGTCCCGAATTAGCCAAAATTACAGCTAATCAACTTTGATACGATGTTGCTGGGCTACGTCAACCAAGTTTCGCCCTGCTGTCTCATCTTAAGGCAAACACTTACGTCATTGTGCTGAGATGTAGCCCCGCCTTTCCGATGATCTTATTGGCCAACTATCCTGTCTATCACACGCGTGAACCTCTGGGACCCAATGAAATGCTTGACGGGGCTTCCGTACAGGTGTGTAGTCACAGGTGTGTCTTTTGTAGTTGTCAGGCAATATATAAACGCAGAGTGTAATGATACAATCAATATACGTCTTAGAATAAAAATATAAGTTATAATAAAACACGAGGTAGCTGGTCAATACTTTTTGAAAAATAGCTAGTGTAAAAGAAAGCACGGAGTCACAGGTGTGCAGGTGAGCTCTTCCACATTCCACAGCGTGACTTCACTCATGCTTTACAGAGGATGATGGGGCCTGAAAATGCCACGTAGGAGGCAATGAGAAGGCAGGGCTGTGCACCATTCAGGGACTGAACTGAACATGCCAGTTGAATTCCATTTTAATTACTGAATTTAAAATGAAATTGCACAGATGTATCATTTGAATTTTTATGGGTGTGAATTAATCATATTTGATTAGTAATCAGTGTTTGAAAATAAAAGATCACTTCCATATAAATTCAATATATATTATTAAAAAAAAGAAAAAAAAAACTTTTGATTAGTAGTACATAGAAGTATCTTATGCTCATCAAGGCGGTGTTTATTTGATTACAATTACCATAAAAATAGTAATAGAAATAATATTTCACAATATTACTATTTTTATGGTCATTTTAATCAAATAAATGCAGCCTTGGTGAGCATGAGACTAAAATTCTTTAAAGTTCTAAATAAGAATTTTTATATATAGTGGTGTATTTCACAATTACTATAAATAATCATAATTAATCCAACATTTATTATTGCAAAGAGCCAGTTCTAATTCAAACTGGTCAAATCAATTAATTTTCCAAGTAATAAATTGAAAGCTTATCCTTAAATTCATATTTATTATTCTGTTTACATTGAATAATGATGATTCATAAATGTGTTGTTGTTAGACATTTTGCAAACTGCACTTGAGACTCATTGTGAAAAAACAATTCATTTTCATACATATTTCTGCTTTACTTCTTATTGGAAAATGACATGATGTATATATTTTCTTTCTGTTGTGTTAACAGCAGCAACTGATAATACCTGCAGCATCAGCATTCATTTATGAAGATACAAATCAACACTTTGCTTATAAATGCTTTATTTATAAATTTTAATAACACAAAATATTTAATTAGGGCTGATTAGTCTTAATAAAAATAATTTTCTTAATCATATGTGTGTGGGTTTTTTGTCAGTTGTCTTCATTAGGTGTGTTGAATAAATCAAATTAAAAACTAAACAGTGAGGATGAACATGCAAATCGAAAAATATTAAAGTGATAAAGTTATTCCTCCAGCATCTGTTGATCTTATAACTCGAGTAAGATGAATAGCTTGTTGTATTCTTCATTTGTAAGTCTCTTTGGATTTAAAAAAAAAAGTGTCTGTTAAATTAATAAATTTAAGTAAAAAAAAAAGTTTGGCATGACATTTCATAAATAATACAAACAAAAATTTCCTACTGAAAGTTAACATTTAGGGAAAACACATTACAATTAATTAAAATTGACATTAATCCTTGTCAAACACTAAAATGCCTTTTACTTGTTATAATATTTAACAATACAAATATGGCTATGTCAGTCAATGAAATGGATTTCCTTTTGTTTTTTATCATACTCGTTCTTTCGTAATGATAGCTCTACTGTACAAGCTGAATTCACAACTCCTTTAGGCCCCTGGTGAAGTCCTTCGACCCGGAATGTTCTTTCACAGGTTCTTACAGCAGGCCTTCTTTTCCTCCTGTGCGTCATCTGCTGCAGCTTTAGGCTGGGATAATGTCACAGCATTGATAGAGCCTCGGGTCACTTCTTTGCTGCTCACCTTTTTATGGATTTCTGAAAGAAAGAGATCAAACGATGACAGCGTGATTATGATAATGAAGCGTTTACACTATTTCAAGCCTGACTGAAGAGGAGAAACCCAGAGGGCAAGGAACACATGTAAAGTACATGTAAATACGGTATGATGTGTTCAGAATAAACAGTAGCTACCTGTAAGCACAGTGTTGAACGCTGCCTCGACGTTTACTGACTCCAAAGCAGAGGTTTCCATGAACAGAAGACCATTCTTTTCTACAAAAAACAATGATAATATGAATATCAATATTTGATTTTGCTAAATTATATATAATATATACACGCTAAGAGAAGTCTGTAAAAATACTGCCCAATGTACTATGAAGGAAAATTCTGTACTGATTTATTTTACAGGTGTTTAGCCCATTATTTGAATTATGCTTTGCATTGTGTAGTGTTTGAGGGTTTAAGGAAATGTCTGTAAATTTAACAGAAAATTTAATTTTACGCAAGGATGTTATCCTTTTTTTTCTTACATTGCGGTTTCATTGTTTAAATAAAATAGACTGGAAATGTATAATGTACATTAATTTACATCTCTGTTAACTCTAAAACACAATGCACTGCAAAATTCAAAATACAGATAAAACACCTTCAAAGTTCCCTCATATTAATTCAGTACACTGTACCTGATTTACAGTACATTTTTACTGATTTTCTTTAGAGTAAATGTTAATTAAAGTGATACGGTTATTTGTCCAGCATCTATTGATCTTAATAACTTGAGTAAGATGAAAAGCTTGTTGTATTCCTCCTTTGTAAGTCTCTTTGGATAAAAAAATTATGTTAAGTGAATATATGCAAGTATATTCAAAAAGAAAGAAAGAAAGAAAGGTTTGGCATGACATTTCATAAATAATACAAACAAAAATTTCCTACTGAAAGTTAACATTTAGGGAAAACACATTACAATTAATTAAAATTGACATTAATCCTTGTCAAACACTAAAATGCCTTTTACTTGTTATAATATTTAACAATACAAATATGGCTATGTCAGTCAATGAAATGGATTTCCTTTTGTTTTTTATCATACTCGTTCTTTCGTAATGATAGCTCTACTGTACAAGCTGAATTCACAACTCCTTTAGGCCCCTGGTGAAGTCCTTCGACCCGGAATGTTCTTTCACAGGTTCTTACAGCAGGCCTGCTTTTCCTCCTGTGCGTCTTCTGCTGGAGCTTTAGGCTGGGATAATGTCACAGCATTGATAGAGCCTCGGGTCACTTCTTTGCTGCTCACCTTTTTATGGATTTCTGAAAGAAAGAGATCAAACGATGACAGCGTGATTATGATAATGAAGCGTTTACACTATTTCAAGCCTGACTGAAGAGGAGAAACCCAGAGGGCAAGGAACACATGTAAAGTACATGTAAATACGGTATGATGTGTTCAGAATAAACAGTAGCTACCTGTAAGCACAGTGTTGAACGCTGCCTCGACGTTTACTGACTCCAAAGCAGAGGTTTCCATGAACAGAAGACCATTCTTTTCTACAAAAAACAATGATAATATGAATATCAATATTTGATTTTGCTAAATTATATATAATATATACACGCTAAGAGAAGTCTGTAAAAATACTGCCCAATGTACTATGAAGGAAAATTCTGTACTGATTTATTTTACAGGTGTTTAGCCCATTATTTGAATTATGCTTTGCATTGTGTAGTGTTTGAGGGTTTAAGGAAATGTCTGTAAATTTAACAGAAAATTTAATTTTACGCAAGGATGTTATCCTTTTTTTTCTTACATTGCGGTTTCATTGTTTAAATAAAATAGACTGGAAATGTATAATGTACATTAATTTACATCTCTGTTAACTCTAAAACACAATGCACTGCAAAATTCAAAATACAGATAAAACACCTTCAAAGTTCCCTCATATTAATTCAGTACACTGTACCTGATTTACAGTACATTTTTACTGATTTTCTTTAGAGTAAATGTATTTTTTTTTCTTTTCATGACTGGACATTTATATGGGTTTATAGTGGCTTATTTTACGTTCAGGAGTACATAGAATATAAAAAAACACTGTAATGCCAAATACAAATTTACTATCAATACTACTATCAATACTAATACTATCAATGGTAGTAATCAAATCAAATTATAAAACTAACAGTTTAGTTAATCTTTTGAAATGTAGTCAAACAAAATGTTTATAATTGCTTTCATTTTTAATAAATAAAATAATTATTATTTTTTTATTAAAACATGGATGAGGCATTTTAATATTACTTAAAATATTCCTACTGTGCACTAGTAATATGTATATAATTTCGTATTTTCTCCAATATGTGCAATAGTAATATATTTCTGTTATAATTTCTTCAAGTTAGGCCGAACTTTTATTTTGAAGGGTTGTCGTGAAGCCTTTTTGAGTTTCTCTGTGAATTTTGCATAATCCTGTATAATATAATAAGCTGTCTTCAGTAATGACCTGCAAAGTCCTTTGCGTCCTCTGTTGGAACAGTTCGTACTGCTGACAGGTCCGTTTTGTTGCCCACAAGCATCACTACGATATGCGGATCTGCGTGATCATAGAGCTCCTTCAGCCAGCGCTCGGCACTTTCATATGTCAAGTGCTTTGAAATGTCATAGACTAGTAGAGCTCCAACCGCTCCTCGATAATATCTGAGATACAGGAAAACAGATCAGATGACTCGATTTACTTCCTCTTTTTAAATGAACAGAACACTGTCATAAAACATTATGTCATAAGCAAGATTACATAATGAAGATGGTTTAGAACAACAGGTGAGAAATGAATTGTATAGCAATGGGTGGTGAAACATGATGTGTTACATTTTTTCTCAATTTGTTAAAGAATAGATGAATGACAATTTACATACAGTCAAAAATGTATTTGCATGCAAACATATTCGGAGTATGAGCGAACTACTTAAAGCGACAGTTCACCTAAAATTCTGTTATTCTGTGAACTTCGGTTCAGTTAAAATAAATGTCATCATCTCCTCACCAGACTGCTCTGGTCCATAGAGTGGAAGTCGATTTTGTTTCTAGTTTTTGATAAATTTATATTTTTGCATTAGATTGATCGAAAGTGATTG